GTTAGCAATATTATAGTGCACTGTGTTTTAGGTACCTGGTATGTTGTAAAATTTGAAATATTCTTTGCTGGAAACTACGTATAGGCCTTGCAGACTATTTATGGGGCCACTGGAAACTGCTTGGAACTGCTTTATACTGTTGGTAGCGGAAAATTTTTATGGGATAACAAAATAGCTTTCTCTGGACTCTGGCAAACTGTGGATTTAACTGGTGAGTGTTTAATTTTCTTTCTTGAACTGTTTTTTTCTTGCTTTATTTTTCGAGAGCTGCCTCTCCACGCTGTACATCTTGCAAAACCCAAGCCGTAACCGATCAATAATTTTTTTGTTTTTCTCACCCTTCTTGAATATTCTGTTTCTAGCTTTGCTTAAGGTCCATACACATAATTTTTCAGTCTTTGGATGTCCTTTTCAATCACTTTTTCACAACACTACTTATAACTAACACATTTTTAACAAATGTCATTTTATTTTTATATACAATTCTATAAATTAATTAATAAAATATTCTTTATTTTGTTTTTTAGGTCATCTCCGGGTATTCTTACAAAGCCACCTTTAGCTTTGACATTTGTGAAATTTACTATAAAATTTGACAATTGATGAAAATTTTCATGTTATGGTTTATGTTGGATTGAAATAAATTTCTTCTTTAAGTTAACTCGCCTTCCAACGATATGATACCAGATTAATCTATAGACTTTAAAACTTTCATTCGATATAAGTCACTCTAGGTTTAGACTCATTTTTCTCTATGTACTGAGTACTAACAAGTGTCGACGTCATGCACTTTATGAAAATTTATTCTGTACTTGAGAATAAAATTAAAAGATTATTATTTTTATACTATGTATATCATTGATCATTACTAGTTTTATATCCAGAATATCCATATTAACAATTTTATACAAATTTGGTGTTGCTATGATAATAATTAAAATTTCTATACAACTTTAAGTTCGGTCAGGCAATATTTTCATATGAGTATAGGTTTTTTTAGGAAATAATTTTTGAATTAATTTAAATTAGCTGAATATTTTTGAAATAAAGTAAAAACTTGAGAGCTAATAATGAAGAATATATAGGTTGCCCCGTTCATGTTTCAAAAAACTTGTGTGCAAGTTCCTCATAGGAAAATAATGAAGGTAGTTCATGTAACGTTTTTTTCTTAGACGCCCTGTTTTCGAGATATAGTGTGTTGAAGTTGTTACTTTCCAAATGATTTTCCTTTATCTTTAAAGATAAAATGATTAATGATAAAAATGTCAAAATTTGTGAATGATTAAACGTCAACTTTGCATAATGAATAACGGCTTTTTTCTGAAAAGCAGTGTCGCCGATACAGGTAATTGGAGGGGTATAATCGAAAAAAATATGTTAAAAGTCAAAATCTGTTACATTTCTAAACGGTTTTGTAAACTCTAAAGCATGATGGGGATTAAATAAAAGCAGTAAAGTAAAGAATATATTTCACTAATCCTGTGGCAATATTAATTAAGAAATTTTATCTCCCTCCACATTCTTTCCAAAAGACGTACTTTTATTAAAGAGTACAGTGATGATTTTTGTATGACAGTTTTTGTGGTTTATTTGCATTCATTCAAACAAAGAATTGTAAATTTTAATATATAAAATCATATTTATTGAGATTATTATAACAAATTAATACAACACTGATATGACATGAAATACATACAACTTTGTATTTAAAATAGAGCTGACATGCTAATATAATTTTGGCTTAAGCGGTAACCTTAAAACGAGTGATAAAATAATATATTGCTTTTCTTATAATTACAAATTTCCTCTAACCTATCAATTGATAAAATCCTCGTTTGGAAATAAACTTACCGTCACTTATATGTATATACCAAAAAAGTTTAATTTCAGGACTAATAAAATAGATCTAACAAAACTTAATTGCCCGTGTTATATTACGGGGGTTTTCGAACTGCTAAGAATTTTTTACTAAAAAGATAGTTTAGAGCAATTATTCTGGATATAACCTTCATGCAAAAATATCGAAATTTTACTGTACATATTATTTTTAAAGGAATTTAGGAAAAGCAATAAATAATTTATAACAGACATTTATACAGTACGTACAATATTTGTTTAGATAGAATTCCAAGAAAAGAAACGAGGACATACGCCTTTGTAACTGCAAAACACAGTATGCACTGCAAGCTGCTTCAGTGAACGCCACGCCGCCAATGTCTTTCTACCTGGGGTGCCTAATGCGGTTAATTCCAACAAAGTGAGTCTTCATGGAATTCGATCTCAACAAATATCTGGACTGTAAGTGAAATATCTTATATTCAGTGACTTAAGAGTATTTTTGGCAACAGGAAAAGTAATATATTATGGCACAGGTACGTATTATATCAAACAATACTTACATTTTTATAGTAATGTAATATAATTAGAACTTCTTTCAAAAAGAGAGTGCTAATCATTATAAAATTGTGCAAATCTTGTTATTATAAATATAACACAGACACACCCCAGAGTTACAACTCTGCAATGACAGTAGGTATTTATAAACATTTGATGTCATTATTAGTTGTCATGTTTTTTATTTTTGTCATTCTTGTAATGTTGTACATCAAGGAGCATCTGAAATTTGATTTAAGATTGAAACAGGGGTGTTTTATAAGCTTAAATAACAAAATAAAAAACATTACAGAAATAAAATTTCTATCTTTCTTAATCTTAATTTCTATCTTTTTGGCACATCTATCAAAAGTGCAACATTATTCGACTAGGGGCGCCTATATACACTTAACGTTAAGAAGTTTTCGGTAATCTACACTAATTTTGACAATCAGATTTAATTTATGTGATTTTAGTTTTACTCTTAATGGGCGGATACTTTACATCATTATCTATATACAATTTTAATTTTAGCTTAAGTCCCAGTTTCCCAAATGTTTCTATTTGAATAATTAAGTAATTAGAAATAAGTATTTGGTATGGTATGAGGTTGTTCGAATTACTCCGAACCAAATAGGAGAGTGGATGAAAATTCTGAATTGTGGAATCCACTTACACTTGCCTTAACCCAATACGGCAGTATAGAATTAAATTGGCTTATATTTAATATTTTCTTAAGGCCGCCATACACGCCAAGACATTACCTGCGGTTTGTCGTGTTAAAAAGTGAATTGTAATTTGTTGAGTCGTCGTAATGTCCGTTTTTTTCAAATTTGACAATTCACATGAAAAATAAACGTATTGTCAAAATGGACAAATGCCATTCGAAAGAGGACTTATTATTCTATCTATTGTAATTTTGATTGCTGAGTTGATACATTTTTAAAGTCGCTCAAGCTACTCGGAAAAGTGCCGTATATGATGCGATGAATGACGAACGGCCCGTCGATGGTTTTCGGGTTTTAAAGAAAGTGATTTCAAGAATAAAGACATGAACTGTCCCGAACATCCACCCTGTTGAATTTGATGAAGAGCAATCGAATCGACTCTTTCGCGAATACTCAAGACATTCAACAAGGTTATTGGCTCAGGAGATTGGATGTAATCACAAAACAGTAGTAAACCACCTACATTCGATGAGAAAAGATCAAAGACTCGACGTTTGGGTCCCACATGTTTTGAACGAAAACAATAAGAATCAATGCTCTGCAATTGATGCTGGTTTGCTTTGTCGTAATCGATCAACACGTGGTCATAAGGAACGTTTTCTTCATCGTATTGTCACTAGTGATGAAAAATGGTGAACTTGGAACAGCAGAAATGGTTAAGCTACAAAAAAGAAGCAACTCCGCAAACAAGACCAGAACTTCATCCTCGAAAGAAAATGTTTTGGGGTTTTTTTTTGGGTTTGGAAGGGTTTTTTTTTTACGAACTCTTACCAAACAATCAACCGTTAACGCAGAATTGTATGTCCAGCAACTACAGCGACTCCACTCCAACAAAAAAGACCTGATCGGCGATACATTCGTTTGCTACATAATAATGCGCGACCACATATCGCCAATATGTCCAAAACGGTTAAATTAGGACTTTCTGCCCCACACGCCTTACTCTCTCGACCTAGTGCATTTTCATCACCTCTGCCTTTGTCAAACTCCTGACGAGGTGTTTCTTTTAACAACAACAATGAGTTAATAGCTTGGTTCGATTGGTTTTTCGAGTCAAAACTGGAGGATTTCTACAGAAAAGGCATCGATAAATTTGTTGATAACGGTCATAACTAAAGATGTAGAATACATCGCTGATTAACCTATTGATAATTGCAGAGTTAAAAAGAGAATATCTTAAACAAAACGGACATTACTTATTCCCAACACAATAGAATCAAAAAGTCTTCAGATGTTGCGATGAAGCTTTTTTAATTAAATTAAAAATGGTGAATATATTTACGTGACTTTGGACCAAATATAAGTTCCTTCTCTTTGTGCTATATTCATAATTATTTTGTTTGTGCAAACAAAGTTTTGTTTAGACGTGTACAGAGGTCTTAGAAGTGGCTTAAAATGTAACAATTTATTTATATTTATATCGCTTATTCTACGAAGTGCGAAAATAATGCATTTGGTATTTTTGCTAAATAATGAGTTAATGTAAGTTCGAATATTTTGAAATGGCTTAAGAAAATACGTAGCGTTGTACACTTATTAATTAACTTTACTTTATTAAAATTCATTGAGTCTATGTTTTATGTTCGTGTCAGCTATTGATTGTTAATTGATTTTTCATATACCAAAGACACTTACATCGTATTGCTACTCGTGGTTACATCTACATTAAAAATTTTTGCTTAAGCTGACATTGTTAGTTTAGTTGTTTCTATGTACAATATATTCACAAAGCGTGAACCGGGATAGTGTAATCTATATACTTTTTCAATATAATATTTTATAATATTTCGAGATATCAGAATCATCAGGGTGAAAGTTAATAGAATTCATAACATCTTAACACTATTAGAGATCAATGTATTCACAACGCGGGAGAGACAGTACAATATGTCTCTGTTTTTACGTGAATCCCTGACTTAATTTTTCTCTGTTGATAATTTTCGAATTCGTTTTTCTCTTAAATTCGTCGTCGACAACTTCCTTTAACATTCCCCACAGTGCTTCTTTGTCTAAGAGAATGTACTGATCATTTTTTATTTCCGGAGCAAAAGTTACTTGTTCCTCTGTTTCGTCTTTAACTTTGTCGTACTTTTTTGGTATATCGTGGACTTCTTCCTTGTTTATGTGCTTGATAGGTGAGTGACGTCTGCTTTCAGTAACTTTTCTTGGAAGTGACTCTTCCAATTTGTCTGTTGTTGATATTGTAGTGCTTGGAGTTACAAAAATTGAAGCAACTTCGGAAGATTTTGAAGTAGTAGATATTTCCTCTGCGTCAGTACTGAGTTCAGTTGTAACATGGTCACTTTGCTTTCTGTAAGTCAAATTGTCAGCAAATAAATTAGGACTAATGAATTTAACTATGCTGTCGTCATGAGGTATGGTATTTTTTTCTTCCATTTCTTCTGTATTGGTAGAAACACTAGACATCGTAGTAATTTGTTCAGTAAAAGAAATTGTTGCAGGAATCTCTGTTGAAGTTGGTATTTCTGAGAGACCAGATATGTTTTTATCACTGTCTTTAGTTACATAGTCAGATGAGCTAGTGATAGCCTCATTGAATGTGGCAGATTCTGTAGTTTCAATGTTACTGGTAACTGTACCCATACTGATCACATTAATTTTCTGTAAGATTAAGGGAATTAAGGTTGTAGCAGAAGTCTCCTGTGTAATGTTGGTGATAATTATTGACTGTACCTCTTTAACCTTACATTCTAAAGGTGTATCTAATACGAGTTCCGTGTTGGTACCATTAGCACCAAACCAAGTAATCATATCATCTGCCGTGACGCTTTTAAGCAAATTGCTTTTGAACTGAGCGTGGAAAAACGTTTCCGCGGCGAGATCCTCTCTGGACGCTGGGTAAATTTTGGCATAAGCAGGTCGAAGCGATGTTATTACGAAGGCGCTTCTTGCCACAAACTGAACGCAAATCGGACATGTGGTGGATACATTGGCGAAGATAAACCAGAGCTTGTTTGCGTGATAGCTGTGCTGCATTTCGGCCATATCTTGGGGAGGGTTTAGTAATTGTGGAGGGGTGGTTGTCAGTTCAAAGCCAGAGAACAGGCTAATCTCTAATCGCAGTACTGAAGATGGTTTACTACCTTTCCATCTGAAAAAACAACTTTAATAATGGATTATCATAAGCAGAATATACGTACTTAAAGCAAGTTTTTAATTTAAGCATTGGTAATTTTCCTTCGATTTCTTCAACTGAACTGCGATCAGGAAGAATTTCTTCCACAACTCCTGACCATAGCTCCAGCAACTGCGTTTTGCTTTTGGCTGAATATGTAGAAAATGTTGTTTTACCCTAGAAAGATATCACTTTAATAATGTATTTAGAAATTTACTTTTACAAAATACCTGTATGGTGGCACAACCAGCTCCAGTGGCGTAAACAAACACTTTGGTGGGTAAACTTGGTAGATACAGCACCTGCGGCGGCTTGTTAGAGTCCAATTCTAAGGTATCTGTTAACTCCATTCCAGAAGTGGCTAAGGAAACTGTGAGTGACCTGTGTCTGTCTTTTGCTAAGGAATCGTACTGAGAAAAAGCCTTCACAGCCGGATAGAGGAGTTCCTGGTGTTTATCCAGCATATGGGATCGATAGAATAGAAATCTAGCCACACTTTCAGCAGATTTCAGGTCACCAATGAGACAGAATGTCGCAAGAGCATAGAGGGAAGCTTTATACTCATCCACAGTAGCTAGAAATATGATGCAAAAAGTAAATTCTTTGACAAATACATGTCTAAGGATGTTATAAAAATACAAGCACGTATTTTATTTGGAAGTCAAATACTGATGTAGCTTAATGAAACATGAGCATATTGTTTTATATACAGATTATTTCAGTTTATGATTTGTAAATAACAATTTTCATTCCTGGCTTTAAAAATCAGAGGAAGTCATTAAAAAGAAAAGAATTGTTTAGTAACATAAGCTTACGAATACTTTTTACAAACATGTTTTTTAGCCAATTTTTCACCACATTATTATTTTTATATCTCTAAACTTTCAGACACCACGGTGTACTTTGAAAAGTGAAACAAATGAGAGTCTGATGGTAATTTGGTGATAAATTAGTACAGAATGATGGATACTGTAATATGCACTAAGTATGAACAGCAATATGGAAACAGATATTGTTGTGAAGCTTTTCTATAATCTCGCGAGCTTCAGCGCGTTATAAAGGAGAGAGACTGTGCCGAAAATAACAATTTTTGTTTAGTACACTTTGTTTTTAAATTATTTCTCTTAATTATTAAGTGTCCTTCTTATAAAAGATTCTGAAAATATAGTAGCATTATTTATAGTTATTAAAATATTTTCCTTTATTAAAAATTTATGCTAAAGTACTAACAGAAAATGTGACTGGAAATAAATACTAAAGTTATTTGAGTTATTTTATATTATAATGTCTTTATTATTTCAAGTAAAACTATAAAGAGAAACATATTAAACATGCTCGGTTTTGTGGTATACATTGATAGTAAAACTGAAAACATGTGACCGCCACTGGCGTTTCTAAATTTAGAAGAAAAGAACCGCAGCAAATAAAACTTTGATTTTTATGACATGTCCCAATCCACCTTGAGACCTATTTCAAGTTTATACCTTCACTTTTATTCCTTTTAATATCATTAATTTCAATGGAATGAGTTCACGTCCACTGAAACTTACCAACGAGAGGCTCCTTTAGGGTTTTCCCCGATTCTGACTCGTAGAGCCAATCAGCTGCGTCCCTTCGGGGCATAAAATGCGGCCACCCGAACTCACCGTCCTCCGTAGTAGAGGCGTTTCGCAATTTTTCTATGGCCCATGCCGCAGTGGCGCTTCTCACCAAAACTAAAGCCAAGGTGACCGCGGCTATGGTCTCAGGAGATTCTACGTTAGGTAGACTGTTTTCCAGGAATATTTTAGCTTTCTGCAGGGTGTCTGCAAAGATTCAGAAAAATCAATAAATTGCGAATTAGATTCTGCAAGAATAGATAGGTTAAATTCAGTAAACTTCCTAAACTTCCTTAAAACAAATGAAGCAAATGTGTCTGAAAAATTGACGACCATGATCGGGTTTTTCTAGGTACCTGTGCCTGGAATATTAATGTTCTTTAGAACTTTAAGAAAAAACCACGAGAATGTTTTGACAGTCAAGGCCAATGACAACTGTAGTGGGATATTGAGCAACTCAGGCAACTTGAACTAGAAAATTTGTCTCAGCCTCAAAGACTACAAAATGATCCCACTTGAATCTTAATACATTTCAATTATTACACCAACCGCTCTAACAACCATAATTGCTTATCGTACCAAGTACAATGACTTTCTAGCTAACTAACTGGTTTGTGATTTGAGGTAAATGAAGGGATTTTATAAATTTTAAAACACAGTTCATCACTACAGCCCGACGCTGACAAAAACTCTACTGACCAATTAGACACTAGCGAAGATTAGCTCGGCCTACTGGCAACTCCGGACGACGACACTTTAATAGATATAAGAGTTGAACAGTTTGATGTCTTCTGAATATAAAACAACATTATTTAGAAGATAAATATTATTTGCCAGAAGAAAGAGGAAAGGGAGGCTTCACGAACTATGGCGCTGGCGGTTCTGAATGATGGGGAAAGGGTCTACCTCTACGAAGTGACCGGGCCTACAGCGATGAAGTAGGTAAAGAGCAATGGTCCCGCTCGACCTCGTTCCATCCCAGGTCATATGTATATCCAGCCAAAGATATTGGCGTGCACAAATATTATTAATAAACACATTACTTAATAGCGTGCCAGGCACTGAACTTCGAGGTTCTCTAGAAGTAACAATAATTTCAGTAGATAAGAAGAAAGATAAGTTCGAAAAATTTTAAAAAGTTGATGGAGATACAAAAATGTTATAATTTACGAAGGAAAATGTAGTGATGCAACCTATCAAAGATTTTTTACGGATCCAAGTAAACTACATCAGAATGTCCACTAATTTCTAATGTACAAAACCAAGCCTGGGTGTGAAATTAAATATTAGAATTATAACTGAAATCGACGATTTCATGTTACCTGAATCAGTGTCACTCTCGATTCCAATTTCATAAAGAGCTATCACGGTTTCAGCGGTAATCTCCACGACGTTTTCGAAAATTACCGCGTCCGAAGTCAAATTCTTCTTGGTTGGATTGAACCCATAAGTGGATGGTAATTTGAAATCTGCATCCAGTGGTGTGAATCTGCCGTCATCTTCCTGTCGCAGTTGGACCCACCGTTTGATGGCCTGTATGAGGTCTGGATCAACGCTGAAGTATGTCTGGACCTTAGTCAGGGCCTCTAAGATTGATACGGTCGATCGGTGGCTGCCCAGCATCTGGTGCTCGCTGAAGGAGTTATCCACTTTTCGATAGGAGAGGATTGATTGAATCTGGAAGTGTTAAGAAACCGTTTTCAACCACCTATGAGGTTACTATATGTAAATATGTTCGGTTAAATAAAAACAAAATGAAAAGATAAAAAGTTCACAATTCGAACTTATGCCCTTAGGATTAGGTAGCAGTACCTTACGCACTGATCGTGAACTATCGCGATTTCCCGCTGACTTGAAATACACAAAATTTTCAAAATCTCTGGAGGACCTTGAAAATTAAGTCTTTTTTCATAAATAGATCTTATTGGACCTATTGCAAGATATGAGAAATTAAAATGTGCAAAAATGTACCTATTTAAATATTAAATATAGGTACGTTGCTCTTTTCCTGTCAGTGGAAGTACATGTTAAAACAGGGGGAATTTATAACTACATAACTACTTTGCGGACTAGAGCTTCTGTCAACATTAAATTACACGCACAATATCTCACTCATATTAATTAATAATTGTCCCAAGTAATAGTCTATCTAAATACTATTAATAATAAATTCAATCAAATTAAACAATGTAAACTTTTTTTTAATTAATAATATTTGGATAGAGTACTTTTATTTAACTAGATCATTAATGTTTAACATGTTTAATAGATACTACGAGTGTCATTCAGTGCGGGTCAGGACTTTCGTCAGCAGAGTAGTTTCCTACAATATCTTATTAATTAATAACTTGAAGTTTATTTTCAGCACAAAAATATATTGTTATCAAGGAGCAAATATGACTTGATCATTTGAGAATTTTAGGAATATTTTTGGATTTGAATTTGCTTAAACAGAATCTAGGAACAGCCAATTTATTTTGCTTCGGTACGAGCACTTTTCTTGATTCTTCAGAGAATATTTTAAACTGACAAGATAGGTTAGGCCAGGTTAATTTTCTGCATATAAAATACGGCAAAAAAGAACTTAATCGTAAAAATTATTCCTTTAATGCAAATTTAATTCAATATTTTTTATGCGGTATTTTCTGTGTTTATATTACTCGCTAACATATCTTTATTAAGTTGGTTTATTTTTTTTCTTTCATATTTTTTAATAGCCTTTATTTTAAATAGAAATAGAAAATACAGAAGGTACTTTCATATAGTTTTGAATGAGATATTGATTTATACTTTTTTATAAAATGTTTTTTGAATATTTCTTGACAAAATGTTGGCACTATTTTTCAAAGCCGTCTATTTTGTCATTGCCGATCTTCGGCATCGTATCGAATCTCTTATAAAAAGGAAAATGTTCGGAGAATAACACGAAAAAGTGAAGTTCAAAATGAACCTAAAACAGGTCTTTTAATATACAGTAGGAATCACTAACTTGGAATAAATTCAATATGTTACACAAAACAAAATTCAAACACGTTAGTACACGTAGGTTATTATTATAAGTTGTGCTCTTTTTTTATCAGTAAGACCATATACAGGGGGTCCAAACTAGGAGACAATTTTTTTAAATGGAATCTAGTTTTTGTGCTTTTTTGAAGGAATTGTAAAGTTACTTATTCACTAATAAAAATCAAACATTTATTCCAAACATCCTCAAGACGCAGCAAGTTAAAGTTTTTAAAATTCCTGTGTCTTAAAAAAAATGTGCGTAGTATAATCAATTTGCTTCCAAAACGTTCTGTTACTATAATTTTTATTGATTTATTCGAAATTGCCAATTTGAAACCAAATTTTTAAACATACAATGGTGAAAAATAATATTTACTTGCTGTATTTTGGGAACGATTGCGATTAAATATTTGAAAAAAGAAAAAAATTGGGACCGTAATTTAAAAAAATTAGTCCCCTAGCTGGGATAGCCTGTATATTTTTTTAAATAAAAAAATGGCAGACTTATAATACTAATCGATGTGTCTCAGCTTTTCTTTAAAGATTTTGTATTTGATAAAGTTAATTTATTCAAACTTAGAGATTCGTTTTGTATAGGAACTAGAAAGACAAATCCGCTGATGCGTTTTATTCTTGTCAAGTTCTAATTTATATAAAATTTGAAAATATTTGCAATATACCACAAAAACGTTCACAAAAAGACGATTTAAGATAATTTAAAAGTAATTAATAACCAAACAATTGGAAGAACTAAATTTAATTTAATTTTTTTCATAGTTGATTCATATTTCTAAGTATCGACCAGGGCTTTCATCCGTTTAAACAAAGTGAAATAATAATATTAACTCTATTTTCAAGTGTTTGTTTGCTCTATCTCGGTGCCACGTTTACATTTAGTAATCTAGCTGAGCTCTCGAAATCGCAACTGTAAAACCAACCGATTAAATCTTATAACTTCCCACTACATTACTTACGCTTCCAGGTAAAGTTTGCAGAACTTGTAGGCGTTCGGTCTCGTTAGCTCTTCTTCCAAGGTGTTGCAAGGTGAGGAGAGGGCTCAAGGATGCCAGGGCACCTGAAAGGTTAGCAACTTTGTAATATGTGGCGAGGACAACTGCCGTGATGCATGGTTAAACGCCCCTAGAACGGGGGGTGATTTGCTGCGTAAGTTTTCTCTTAAATGCCTTTCAAGTGTTTGTGCTGAGGCAAAACTTTTCTTTCTTTGAGTTCATTATTCTAGGGACCCATAAAGAGACATTAATTTAAATATTTACCACATTAATGAAAACTATTTATTACAGAGACATGGAGGGCTTAAATCAGAAAGGCCTCTATTTTTGTTTAATTGGGTATTCTTGCCACACTGAAAACAGGTTTTTTAAATAAATAAACGCTTGGGATAATGAATCAGTCAAGGGGTTGATTTTATAAATTTAGTCTTGCTTTACTAGATGTACCTCACATTGAGATAGTGGGAAATTTTGTTCTATTACACGATAAGTACTACAATATGTGACATGCACAGTCAAAGTTTCGAAAACCTTACAGTTGTCGTTATCAAGACTTAAATTGACTTAAAGTCAAAAGTAACCATTTTTGTTTTATTTTCTACCTTTCATAGTCGTAGTTGCTGTTGTTGTTATTGATGATGCTGTTGTTGTTTTTAATATTTTTGTTGTTATTAATGTTATTGTTGGGGTTGTTGTTGTTGTTGTCGTCGATGCTGCTACTATAGTTGTTATTGTTGCTGTTACTGCTCTTGCTGTTGCTACTGTTATCGAATTCGAAAACGCTTTTACTAAGCTATACTTTCACAAAGGATCTGGCAATAAGAACGCCTACGTTCGACGGCTGGTGCTGTTATTGTGGTTGTTGCTGTTACTATTGTTGTGTTATTCTATTTGATTTTGTTGTTGTTGTTGATGAATTTGTTGTTGTTATTGTTGTTGTTGTTGCTAGTGCTGTTGTTGTAGTTGTTATTACTGTCGTTGTTCCTGCTGCTACTGTTGTTGTTACTGATGTTGTTGTTGTTGTAGTTGTCGCCGTTGCTGTTGTAGTTGTTGTCGCTGTTGCTTTTATTGTTGTTGTTGCTGTTGCCGATGTTGTTCTTACTTCTACTATTGTCGTTGTTATTGCTGTCGGTGCTGCTGTTTCTGACACTTCCATGGCATGTGCATTCGAAGCGTCCAAGGATATATAGGTATTAAAAGCTATCGCATAATATTTATTTTATTCTTACTTAGTTCGCCGTTGAGAATATTTAAGAAATAATTATCAAAATTTGAGAAATTATTTGAAATACTGTAAATGCAATTTCCACAATTTTTCATCTCATTTTGCTGTTGAGTTTTTAATAAAATTATCTGTAACCTATGCTTCAAAAACTCTCCTAATATTAAACCTATTACAAACTCTTTTTATTCTTTCAGAAAAACACGAATAATACTTTATATTCGTGGTTTATCCGAAAAAATTAAAAGAAATTGGAAACGTTAATGTATGCATAACATTTTGTTGTTGTTTGAGAATAATTTTTATTTTCAAAAGTTCTACAAATAATTTTTTCTGAGTAGATTATCTAATATTATATTTTTTACGAATCCTGCTTTATTTTTGAAAATTTGGTATTTCCACAAAAAAAATTTGCTCAAATATAAACATTTTACAACGCTTAGAATATTAGAAAATTTGTTGGCATATCTATTATTCACTGAAATAACGAAAAGTTGAAAGAAATTCGGTAAGAATTTATTTTGATAAAGTATTATGTTATGTCTCAAATCATTTCTTAAATTTTGATAGTTGTTAATTGAACATTTTCATTAACGATGTAAGTAAGAACAGAATAAATATTATATGATATCGTATATCTATGGAAGGTGTAACAACAAAATAAAAACATTGTTAAATTTATTTTTAAACCCATTTGAGTTATGAGGACGAAAATAGGGGATTTTGTAAAGTTAACTGTGATATGTGTAAATTGGTGATTATTACTTGACATACTTTTGATACAAAAGGTTATTTAATTGTTTTTCTGTCTCACGTGACAGAAATGCTTCCTTAAATAATAACAGTAATAAAAGAGTTACAAATAAATAATTATGCACGATATCTATGTATGTCTTAATCAAATGTTATTGCTTTCCAATCTAGATGCTGTCAAAATAAAAAAAAAAACATCGGCAATATTAAGGAAAAATAAGGTACGTGGACGATGTTTTTTCGATTTGTTGTACCTATTTTACTTTGTCACTTTTATAAACTGAAAATCTGTAACATTTAATTAAGGTTCACTGCACATATAGTTTTTTGTATTATAAGTATCTATATGTAATATGAGAACATGAAGAAATAATATGGTCTAGAGTCTAGAGAATAAAAAATATTTTTTTATACAATTATTAATGTCTCTTTTCACCAACTTCCTTTTTTTATTCTATTTAAATATTAGCGGTGTGATCTAAGAGAATCATCTCAAACTTTTGAAAATGTCAAAAAAATTACAATTTTATACCCATAAACAGTAGTAAAAAAGTGTAGTTTTACTAAAATCACCATTTGTTTAAAAAGACAGAAAGTATTTTTCAATCAGTAACCAAATATTTTTTATCAACACTAGTATCTTCCCTTCCTTAAGAAATATAGTTTTTCAGAGCTATTTTGCTAACATATTCGTAACACAATAAGCACCGCATGTATTAGAAGTCATATATTTTAGTTTATTAAAGAAAAATTAAAAAGTTCACAATTAACACTTCATATCAGAACAAAGACATCAAGATTAAAATTCGATTCAATTTCTGTAAATATAAACCTTATTTTCATAAACCTAACTGCTATATGAAATAAATAAAATATCAAGTAATCTTGAAATACTACTTGATTTTTGAGGTACTTGAAACATAACTACTTGATTCACTATTACTTTACATGATTTCAAGTCAAACTTTGAATCAAGTCTTGAATAAAATACAAAGTTTTTAGTGCTTTAATTTTGTATTTGCGCCAAAAAGTACCAAATAAATTAATTAAGATCTTTTCCGATTAAGCAAATGAAATGAACTTATTTTGAAAAATACCACCAAGTTTGGTTTTGGCTCTTCACCAAATGTACATTTTGAATATAATTTTGGACATAGAAATGGAATACTATCATTTCATATGTATTAAAACTACGTCAAACTACGCATAACGCACTTTGTTTAAACGTTGGTTCATTCTTAACTAAATAAAATTTTTGAAGAAAAGAAACCGACGACATTTATAACAAACCGCGACATAAATAGCAAATAAACTGTGCTACGGTATCGGCCTGCTAAGAATTTCTAGAAAATATATAGCCTAGAACAAAAACCGACTATTATGTAATCGACTCTTTTTAAGCCAGAATTTATTAGCTCCCAGGGAACTAAGCCTGTAAATATTTGACGACGTCTACCTTTTACAGATTTTCTTCATATAATATTTATCTAGTTTACCTGTCAAGCCGCCGCCTTCGATCCTTTTGTTTATGGCCGGCAAAGCCAAGCCCCCTGCGACCAGCAATTCACCCCATTCAGAGCCCGGCACGACTGATTTCGGTGTGTCTAGATGGAGCACTTGGGAAAAGCCGGATTCTTCGTTGAAGTTCCATATCCTGCGAACAGAATTTAACTAAATCCTTGAAATCCTTTTACGATATCGCATAGTGGTAGACGCATACACTTTTAAAAGTCTAGAAATATTGACGTTAGCAAATTCTGAGCACGGATGTGCTTCAGTTTTAATACTAGCTCCTCCGCCAAAACTTCGAAAAGCGTTGTGAAGAATGTCAAAAATTTTTTTAAATCTTTTCGAAATTTATTGAATTAAGTAAGTCTAAGTTCTCTGTAGTCAAATAACCATTTATATTAGACTGTACCACAAAACTGATAGACAAATTTCTGGTACTTGTAAAATTCACATTATTATTTCTTAGAAAAATGAATACAGTGAAATTATAACAATTAAAATAGGTCAGTTATTGCTGTCTATATCCGTTATGGAATTCCAAATAAATTCTGAATCTACAATTGGTTGTAAGTGCATATAAAATTATTTTGGATAATTATTTCCGACTTTAATACATAATTTCATATTTAAGGTAGATCAAAAGCTGTTTTAAATTAAACAACAATTACACAAAAATACATAATTTTATTACAAAACTATACAGGATGTAAATTTAAGTGGGCGGTCAGTTATTTAATAGCAAGTGTTTGGAAATACTAATATTGGTACGTAGATACGCTACTAATTGAAAAAAATATATATTTTTAAATCAATTAGACAGCGAAATTAATATAAAATAAATGAGTGAAAACAGCTTACTTCTCTATGACAACGACGTGTTATTTTAAAGTCACCATATTCAAATAATTTTGTATCACTATTTTTTTAAGCAATGTGAATTTGTGAATCTCAGTATTAATGACCTCTGACACTGACTTAGTGTAGCTAAATTGTGCTACTGTTACTACGTATAGTAGATAGGAACGCACTTATATTAAAACAGGTTTTTACAGAAATACGGTATATTCTGCTCTTTTTTCTTATTCAGCCACTTCAACAGCGAATCGGTGCTAGAATTATTAAATTAATCAAAAATAAATAAAATAGCAACAAAATTAAACCGTGAACAGTTTAAATTTAAGCAGAATTGCACCATGTTCCGAACGTTTCCGACAGGCAGCAGAGGTTAGCTACCGCTGTTCAGTTCAAACAGTAAATCTCCGACTTTGAAAAGCGCCTACTTCCGATTATCTTCACGCTTGGTCTGATGTGACGGAATTCAATGGATTAAAAACAAACTGCCACGTTAATGTGATGAAATGCGAAAAATTCAAGTTTTTGTATGGTATTATGAAAAAGCATATATATGAATTAAGAAAAAATTGATATGGTTAAAGATGTGGTTATATCTTAAAAGTTGAGATAGCTATTTCACATTCTAAACATAGACAGGACATCAGAGCAATTTAAATAGTATTAATATATTAATGTTCAACAATCATTATTTCATCCTCAACATTTTAATTTTACACATTTTTTTTTTCATTTTCGAAAAATATTAATCTTTAGTTTATTCAGTCAAAAAAGGTGCACTTGTTTAATTTTGATAAATTTAAACGTTTTCGAGAAATTCAAGTTTACAATTTGCAAACAACAGCGCGTTTGTTGCTTAATAAAAAAAATTCAATACCGATTGCATATGTATTAAATTGGAAATTGTTCAAAATGTTTGAAATTTCAACACATTTGAGGTCGACGTTATGAAAGTTTACAAATCCGTCCTTAAATGCATAGGCGTAGCTACGGTGGGGCAGACTGGGGCGCTTGCACCCCCTGGTTCATTAATGAAGGAAAAAATATAAAAAGCCAGTAAAAATAAATTATTTTAAAAATTCCAACTGACTTTTACATTTAAAAAATAAATAATAATTTTTTAAAAACAATAATTGATAAAAAAAATTATTTTAATTTAAGATAAAATAATTTTAATTTGGGAAATATGATAATTTTGAGCATGTGTTGTTATTTGTCACATTCCCCAACATAAATATAAATTAATTTTAAATTTTAATAATAATAAAACTTTAAAAAATATTTCGATTGATTTTAATAGCATTTTAATAAGTAGTTTATATTACATATTTTTTATTGCTCCCCTCTGGAAAAAGTACTGGCTACGCCCTTGCTTATATGTGAACCTAAACCTCTCGGAAATAGTTCAATTTATCAAAATTAAACAAGAATCCATCTTCTTTAATAGTCTAGATACAACTCTCAGTCTTAATTTTTTGGGTTATTTAGCAAATGTTAAATAAACTAATTTAATGTAGATTTTAATTTAATTTAATTTAGAAACAAAATATTTTCGGATCCATGTTCATGATAATTTAATGTAGATTTTAATTTAATTTAATTTACAAACAAAATATTTTCGGATCCATGTTCATGATAATTTTGGTAATCTCTAAAAGTGATAACACTCCGTATAAGAAGCCTATTCAGCTATTTTATAAGCACAGTAGTTTTATTGTTGTAGGTTTCTAATATAGATCGTTGCCAATGTAGGACAAACTCATATACCCTCTAAGGGACGTAGTTGGGTTTGGCATCCGTAGTAGTAGTATTAGCGAGATCGATGTAACTACTTGGAGAGAGTCAGCCGTATCAGAGTTCACCGCATCATCAATCTAGCAGGACCAAAATAAGGGGGAGCGCGGTGGTGTCGTCCTACTGACGGGTGGATTGATTTGAACAACAACGCGTAAATAATTGGTTTCATATTTCCATAAAGAAGGCAACATTAACAAGGCACTGCTCGATATTTGCAAATAATGGGATATAATCCTTGGGGAAGGCAACTGAATATTCTCACGAAAAATGGGTCCAGTCATAAATATCTTTTACAAAATTATACTCCTTGGAACTGAATTAAAAAACAGGAATAATGAATGGCAATAAATTTAAATATTTGCAAGAACACGCCATGAATCTATTTTTGCCATCGGTAAAAGTAATTTCATTTTCTTAAAAAAATAGTGAATCTCCTCAAAGTTGGCCACTAGAAATTTTCATAGCAAAAAAATTTAAATTTTAGTTTAGAATGTTATCTAGATAAATAAATAGATTAGCCTTATGAAACACATTAAATTTTTAAGGTGCAGTCAATTTTACTCGACTTGCAAAATTATGAATGCATGGATTTCTCATAGCTCGCCTTTACATGTGCGAAGTGTTTACAATGGTGGTCATGGTTATCATCGCGGAGCAGTAAAAGGCGGAGTGGGAGTAGCGCAATTATACTCGCAACACCTAGTGCAACAGCTAGGATCGTTCGTCAGTTTAACCCACCGGGCACAGACCGGTTTCGGACTTATTAGTCCTCATCAGTGTGTCATAGGTGAGACAACCGACGAACGATCCAGCCGTTATGCGGCCGTTTGTTTCACGCACGCAACACTGACAATTAAAACATTGCCTTCGCCCTCCGTGGGTGGCAGTAGTGCAACAAAGTACCTGTAATATAGCAAGTCGCTTCCTACTGTAGCCATTTGAATGGCAGAGTTGGGAGTCAGACAGATGGAGCCATTTGCACTCCGCGTACAAAGTTTCGGTTTTATTGTAATCAAATAATAGCTATGCACCGCTCTTTTTTCTAAATAAACGTAATTTGTTCAGGTGTGGTGTAAAATTTTGTTACGTACATATTGTTTCTCGTGTGTTTTTTTAAAAATTGTAAAAGTTTAAATTGATTGTAGCACTTGGAAAAATCAATGGTGTGAGAAATACCAAACTTTAATGAAAAAGTAATTGAACAGTTTATCTTGGACAAAAGCAGTAGAATGGACTATTACTATAAAAAATAATGTTGACTAAATTTTCCCTATATTTCAATAGTACTTAAAATAAAACTACCCAATTATAGGTATTTTTTTTCAATACTTTGTACCTAAATTTTTCCACTGTCCCTGGCATGGAAGTCGAGAGATACGTCACTGTATATTAACCATGTTTTATTTACCTGAGATCTTAGTTAATATCACTTAATTGACCAATCAGCATTCAGAGTCGCTGAGATTAGCTGAGATCTCAGTTAATTTCATGTAATTGATCAACAACCATTTAGAAAAATCGAGATTAATTTAAAATTATACTATGTTTATGTATGCAAATAAATATTTACTCGTATAGAAGCATGTTATAATTATTATTAAGTAAGTAAAATTATTTTATCTTAACGGAAGAACGAGTTTATTAATTCAAGGACTTAATATACAGGAATAGTAGTGGCCAAATAAGTATATTTTTGATTAAACATGTAAACCAGTAGTTCTCAACCAAAAAAATATTCTGCATTATACATTTGAGATATAGGGCATACGTATGCCTTAATGGCGATTAAGGCATACGTAGACAAATTTATAATAAAAAAAAATCTGGAGTAACTTTCCCATAAAGCGTTCCCAAGAAAATCTCAATATGCCACGGACTGGTCAGCAAGTATATGTAGGCACGAAAAAAAAAAAATTAATTCAAATTGTGCGTCCTCAGAAATTTTAGAGGGATGTCCTAGTTGGTATTGATATTGTTATACTGGTGGCTAAAGTGGAAGCTCAAGTTTATTACACTCAGTTACAATATACATGGTGGCCCATTAATATTGCAAAAAAAAACAGGGGGAGTTTCCTTGACCAAAATTGAGAAAGAGAGTTCCTATAAACCTATGTCCGAAAATGCTTCGTTTCGGAGATACAGGGTGTTGAAATTTAGAGAAAATACAAGGTTTTTACTAATATCTGGAGAACCCTAATTACGATTTTTTCGAAATTTGGTATGTTTGTTTATAAAAAAGGTAGACGTCTTCTGACGTAATTTGCTTTATTTTATCTATTCCAGCGGCGTCCGGGGACTCACTCCTGTTGATATTAATAAGTAAACATATGAGACGTCACTGCTTTCTCTTAGGTGTCACATGATTTTCTATTTATGCGATAAAAAATACAACTTTTTTGTCTCTTTACTTTTTTTGATATCTTGCTTCGTTTTCGAGCAAAAAATTAATAGCTTAAGTGTGTGATTTTAATAAGTACTTGAATTGTGTAGTTGTTA